AGAAGGATTTTGAGCTTTATTCACTTTTTTCAACACACTGCTATTATTTTGAACACAATCAGGGGCAGACTGACCATTTGGAAACTTGGGCATTGCCCGAGGGCCCGGGGTCAGTAGGGGGCCCCATGAGATGCCCCTGGTACCTTTTTCATAGGCTTTTTTCAGTTTGGGCAAGGACACAGGGGCCCCATGATCCCCTATTGAGGGCCCGGGGTCAGTAGGGGGCCCCATGAGATGCCCCTGGTACCTTTTTCATAGGCTTTTTGAGTTTGGGCAAGGACACAGGGACCCCATGATCCCCTATTGCCCAGGGGCCCCATGAGTTGTCAGTCCGCCCCTGAACACAACCGTATAAAAAAAGATTGGTGATGATACTTCCTGTGTGTGGTTCAATTGCTATCAGGTAGGATTATTGTGATAGCAAAAAAAAAAGGTGAATACAAATTTTTTAAAATAAAAACGTGTAATAAATATGTAAAAAATATAAATATATTTATAAATATAGATTTTATAATATAAAATATAGTAAATAAATAGTAAATAGCAATTGAACCACACATAGGAAGTATCGCCACCAATCTTCATGTGCCCAGGCTATCAGGTAGGATTATTGTGATAGCAAAAAAGGTGAATAATTGCTTTTTTAATAAAAACGTATGTAATAAATATTGGTTTTATGACATAAAATATAATAAAGTATCGTCACCAATCTTCAGGTGCCCAGGCTATCAGGTAGGATTATTGTGATAGCAAAAAAAGGTGAATAAAATGTTTTTAAATAAAAACATATGTAATAGATATGTAATATAAATATATTTTATGATAAAAAAATAATAATAAATGTACAAGAAAAAAAAAAAAAGAATAACTACTTTAGGCTCCCAGCATTCCCTGCCAGCAGTGAATGGAGCAGGTCGCCTCTGACAGAGGTCTGGGCGTCTTGTAAATCCTTTTATCATTTCCATTTATGTTCTTTATTTGGCAATGAAGAGAACCATTCATTATATTAATAGGAATCAGGGAGAGCAGGTGTACTTCTGTCAGGATCCAATCTTCGGCTGATTGCCTGCTGAGCATACTAGATCTATTGGATAATTGTTTGATAGGGCTAGAGGGGGAATTGGATGGCAGGATGATTCATGTATTTGTTCAGTGCATTCGTTTTATTTTTTCTTTTCTTTATAGCTTTTGAAATATTATTGTTGTAGAACAAGCCAGCTATTGTATTGATGGGCCCATGAGGCATTGCCGGACATTGGCGGTAAGAGCCAAGAACGCAAACAAGCATCTTACGGGTTTTACAACCTAATTCCCTCAATGGCTCCCGCACCATTTCTTTGGCTGTGGTGTAGGAACGCATTGGTGAACGCACGCTGCTGTCAGATACAATCTGAATATTGTGACTTGGGTGGTCTCTATGTCGGAGAGGCTGTAGTAACTGGTGTAGCCTGCTAGAGGTCTCTATGGTGGAGAGGCTGTAGTAACTGGTGTAGTCTGCTGGTGGTCTCTATGGTGGAGAGGCTGTAGTAACTGGTGTAGTCTGCTGGTGGTCTCTATGGTGGAGAGGCTGTAGTAACTGGTGTAGTCTGCTGGTGGTCTCTATGGTGGAGAGGCTGTAGTAACTGGTGTAGTCTGCTGGTGGTCTCTATGGTGGAGAGGCTGTAGTAACTGGTGTAGTCTGCTGGTGGTCTCTATGGTGGAGAGGCTGTAGGAACTGGTGTAGTCTGCTGGAGGTCTCTATGGTGGAGAGGCTGTAGTAACTGGTGTAGTCTGCTGGAGGTCTCTATGGTGGAGAGGCTGTAGTAACTGGTGTAGTCTGCTGGAGGTCTCTATGGTGGAGAGGCTGTAGTAACTGGTGTAGCCTGCTGGAGGTCTCTATGGTGGAGAGGCTGTAGTAACTGGTGTAGATGGCCATGCAGGCAGTAGTGGGCGTGTAGGCAGTGATGGCCTCGTGGAAAGCAATGGTTGTGTAGAAAGCGGTGGCCGCGTAGGCAGCGGTGTGGGCGTGCAGGCAGCTGTGGGTGCGTAGAAAGTGATGGCCGTGCAGGCAGCGATGTCCGTGCAGGCAGCAATGGCCGTGCAGGCACCGATGGCCGTGTAAGCACCGATGGCCGTGTAAGCACCGATGGCCGTGTAAGCACCGATGGCCGTGTAAGCATCGATGGCCGTATAAGCACCGATGGCCGTATAAGCACCGATGGCCGTGTAAGCACCAATGGCCGTGTAGGCACAGAATGACCTTGGCCTTCAGTACACATTTTGCAATATGCAGCAGTCTCTATAACACGATGCCAGATTGTGGATACAAGTTTTTTGGCTTGTGTAGTGGATTTAAGCAGGTTTACAAATCCAGAGTGGATCTGTGATGTTCTTTGATGTTTTTGACTGTGCAGCCCAACCACGGCATAGCCAGCGCAACCCTGAGCTAAATCTCAAACCTTTTTGTTTATGTCTGTTCCATTGCCACTGATTTCCATAACCTCCGGGACATCGTTCTGACTCAGTATGCAAAATAGAATCCTCTTTGCTCGTCTAATGATGAATCAAGGCTGGTGTACGGCAGTCAGGATTTATTGAATCCATATTGTGTCTATCTCAGAAGTCCTTAACCTTCTTCTGGCATTAGACCCAGAATACATGTAGGAGTCAGCTTTGGGATGCAGGGTTCAGCTGTGAACCGAATACTTAATTACTTTAGTCTAGGACAAAAGTTAAATACCGTACAATTACCAAGGAACTATACTCGTACTTTGTATACAGGATGCCCATTTCTCAACATGTGATTTTGTGAAGCTCAGAAAAAAAAAAAATCAGGACATTTTGTTTTGTTTACAAATGTTTTTATTTTGTTTTTTGTCAATAAATATACTACAAAATGGCAGTACAGTATCAAATAAGGCATACAACAAGAACAAAGCACGTTTGTAATGCATATTTCAAATGGTACAACCATATAAAGTAAAAAAAGGGAGAGAAAGAGAAGAGAAATTAAGTACATGAGCAGTATAAGTAGAGGGGTATGTAAAGCTATATAGCTTTCAAGAAAATGACTCAATCAACCAAAATATGAGTGGACATTAGTCAGATAGTAAATGCCTGTAAGTTCTCCAGACTTCCCATTTTCTGTCAAATAAGTGCATCTTATCCAATAAGATGTAATGAATTTCTCTCCATGAGCATCACTGCATCAATTCTATTCATAACTGTGGCCAATGGTACCGTGAGGGACTTCCAATGTAGGGCCCCCATAGGGCAGATATACAGATGGTATGGATTAGCCTCATAATCTCAGTTCGAACTCCTGGGATATGGGCTCCTAGTAGGCAAGACTGCATAGACAGATGCACCGGGGCCTCTGCCACAGCGGAGGCTGCATCTGAGATCTTGCGCCATAACAATGAGAGGCTTGGGCAGTCCCAAAATGTATGCACCAAGGTACCAGTAAGGCCGTAGCCCCGGAAGCAAAGGTGGGACATCCCTGGAAACATGATATGTAATCTAGATGGGGTATAATACCATCTGGTTAATATTTTGAGGGCAGTTTCCCGGACAGAAAGATCTAGAGCTCTTACACATATTATCCACCATGGACTCCCAATCCTCATCAGAGAAGGTGACAACACCATCCTCTTCCCACTTCTGTCTATAAAGGGGGGGAGATGGGAAGGCAGCAACCAGAAATTGGCGATACAAATCCAAAATGAGACCCCTATCCCTGGGAGAGTCATGGCTAATATGTTCGAAATGTGAGATTGGGGAGGAAGGTATCACACCAAAATGTGAGAAGAAAAAATGTCTAATCTGTTGATAATGATAATATTCTCGCAGTGGGATATCAAAAAGTATACAAATCATCTCAAAAGTGATATAAGATCCTCCCTTTTGAAAGTCAGTTAACCTGATGAGGGATCTATCATACCACCAATGAAATGCCTGTGGGGATGAGAATGCTGTAGTAAAATTCAAAAAATGATGAACCTGGGGAGATAGAGGAGACGAGCTTTAATTTAAATTTATATCGGGACCAAAGCATTAGCGATTGGGCAACAATAGAATTATAAGTCAATAATAAATGGGGGGGTGTTTTTGACCATAATATGCCTGGAACATAGTATGGACAAATAGACTGGGATTCAAATCTAATCCAAGGGATCTGGGAATTGATAGTGGACCATTGAGATATCTGTGCAAAACGGGCCGACAGGTAGTAAAACCACAAATTGGGGAGTCCAAAGCCTCCCCCGCCCCTTGTGATTGGTATAGGACCGATGAGGTAAAACGAGGGCGTTTATTACGCCAAATAAAATTATTAATCGTCCGTTGAAAAACTATCTAAGAACGCCTTCGAGACTAAGATAGGGAGCGCCCTAAATAAGTAAAGTAATTTAGGCAATATGTTAATTTTTTACTGCTGTGACTCTGCCCAAGAATGAGATGGAGTATCCAATCCAGACTTTAACCACCTCCTGCCCGCCATATAGTACAATGACGGGTGCAAGGTGGTTCTCTTGTTCTGGGAGGACGTCATATGACGTCCTCCCATTCTCACTGCACATGCGCGGCTCAGGGAGCGCGCAGCGTGGCGATCGGCAGTGCGCTGTGTCCCTCGGACAAAGCGGATCACTGATCACAGAAAGAGTCGAAGATGTCGGCTCGGTCATGTGATCAGCTGTGTCCAATCACAGCTGATCACATGTAAACAGGGAAATGCCGGTTATCGGCATTTCTCTCCTCTCGAGCTGTCACGCTGACAGCTCAAGAGGAGAGCAGGTAATTGGCTTTCCGCGGAGGGGACATGTACACTGACCATCAGGGCACTGATGATCAGTGTGCCCTGATGATCAGTGTAGACCCAGCAGTGCCACGTGCCAGTGCCACATATCAGTACATATCAGTGCCCATCTGAGCTGCCTTTCAGTGTCACCCATCAGTGCCAATCAGTGACGCCTATTAGTGCCAGTCAGTGCTGCCTATCAGTGCACATCAGTGCCGCCTATTAGTGCCAGTCAGTGCCGCCTAAAAGTGCCAGTCAGTGCTGCCTAACAGTGCCGCCTATCAGTGCCATATATCAGTGCTGCCTTTCAGTGCCAGTCAGTGATACCTGTCAATACGCATCAGAGCCACCTACCAGTGCCTCCTCATCAGTGCCCATCAGTGCAGCCTATCAGTGCCCATTAGTGCACCCTCATTAGTGCACATCAGTGAAGGAGAAAAATCACTTATTTACAAAATTTTATAACAAAAACTAAGAAAAAACATTTTTTTTTTCAAAATTTTCAGTGGTTTTTGGTTTAAGAAAAAATAAAAAACCCAGACGTGATTAAATACCACCAAAATAAAGCTCTGTCACAAAAAAATGATAAAAATTTCATATGGGTATAGTGTTGCATGACCGCGCAATTGTCATTCAAAGTGCGACAGCGCTGAAAGCTGGAAATTGGCCAGGGCAGGAAGGGGATATAAGTGCCCTGTAGGCAAGTGGTTAAAGTCAGGACATTTTTGGAGCAAACACAACTGTCCTAAATATTGTTAGTGCAGTAGGTCAATAAAAGCACCAATGAAAATCTTGAGAGTCCTACATTTTACTTGCTCAGCCAGTGACATTATGAAAAGCACAGGACATCCCATGTGTTTTGGGGGCTGGACAGGGACAAGGGGTGAGCAGAAGGTGCCTCTAGTAGCCTCACACCCTCCTGAACTCAGGACAGTAGGGTGCAGTTCGCCACCCTGGGCATTGCATGACCTTGCCTTAAATCCTTTTGGAGTCTTCAAAACACGTTGGGTTACCTTTGCTTTCTGCCACCATTTGAACAAGTACAGATTTTGGACTCTCAAGATTTTCCTCTGGCACTTTTATTGATCTGCTACACTTAGATTTCTAAATTCAGTTGAACCCCCTCTTGTAAGGGGTCCCTTTTTTGTGGTGAGATGCCAAACCCAGACCATTAGGCACAAGTAATGACTATGACCACCTATGGAAAACCTGTGTCCAGCTCCTCGGCACCACCTGTGCTTGGACAAAATAACAGGGCCACTAAGCCAGGAGACAGGCACATAAGGGGATTTGTGATTGGTTAGGAATGGCGCCAAGAGTACAAGTTCTTGCCCTGTTCTGCTAAAACACTGCTCCTTCTACTGAGGAAGAACCCATATTTTGCCCCACTCCATGCCATTGACCTTTATTTCCCAAAGAAGGAATGTCCAGAATGTGATTTAAATCACTGCACTTTACTGATGGAACTCAGGAAATGGTATAACAGTCACATCAACTTCAGTCACTTGACAAGAAAATAGTCAATCATATTTAGTGGACAGTCTGCAGCAGTTATACTCGAAAGCATATGCAGCACTATAAGCAGCCATCTCCACTGGCACAGCGAGAAGAGCCACAGCCAAACACTGCAGAAGTGACAGGTTCAGATCCAGACCTCTGCCTAGATACTCTCTTGCCTGCCACCTGCCTGGACACAGAATACTCTCTTGCCTGGACACAGAATACTCTCTTGCTCGCCACCTGCCTGGACACAGAATACTCTCTTGCCTGCCACCTGCCTGGACACAGAGTACTCTCTTGCCTGCCACCTGCCTGGACACAGATGACTCTTGCCTGCCACCTGCCTCGACCTTTGGTTGTACTCTGACCCTTCACTATATTGTATCTTGTCTTCACAGCATAGCCACCCAATTCCTGTGACCCCTTGGTGGGGCGCTCCTAATGCCTGTGACCTGGTATCAGCTTGCAGCAGAGTAACCCAGGGGCCACTAGGATCACCTGCTTATCATTCCCATCATTGCTTGCCGAGTGATCTGGTGAAGACCAAGTTGTTGCTTAGACCACAAACTTTGGGTCTCCTGCCAAGGGTGTCAATCCAAACAGGACCTATGCGAGCTAGGATGAAGAGATGAGCCTACAAAGACATCTGGGGCTTAAGGAGTCAGACTGTGATTTTTTTTCAATGGGAATGAAATGGATAGATGAAAATGGATAGCTATAGTAAGTCCCCTGCCTCCAGGCTATCATAGCTTTATAGCCAGCTTTGATAGCAGTTTCACCCTTTCTTGTTATAACTACCATGAACGACATGTCTGCTTTAACTCTAATATGACCTTAATACTGGTAAAATTACAAACGAAAAATTCCCTAATATTGGTTGTACTTGTAAGTCTACAAGTATATTTGTTCAAGCTGTAAAGCCCAAGTCTTCTGAGAACATAGTGAGCTTCTTGGCCTGACCTGACCTGTTTTGGTAGGGTTCAAGTTGTTGTTACATTATTTGACTGTTCCCGTCTCAAAGGTCTGGAATTACTCACATGTAAGGTTGCTTAGGGACGCGGTTTATCAAGCTACAGGAAATTGTACGTTCTTAAGATTCCCAGTGCCGTTGGCGTCCACACCTGGTATGGCATTTACATGAATTGTTTGTATTATGTCTTCGGGGAAGCCTTGCCAATATTATGTCAGTGGATTAGTTCCTCCACAATATTGGTGTTTCCTATTTACCTTCTCGTATTTTCGCCAAACAAAAAAAATCACGGCCTTCAGTTAACCCCTGTAGAAAATGTCCCTTTTGGCTGAAAGCTAACTTCCTCAGATTGTCATGTAAAATCCTCGTCATTTCTCAGAAATCAGGCCCTGCTACAATGCCTTTCATCAGTGCTAAGGGGCCAAGAAAAAGGAATTGGTTCCTGTTGGAATTCTAAAGTCTTTTCTTTCCTCGTTTCTCAGATTAGAAAAGAAATGCCAAGATCTGTGTAAGTATAGTCTGGATCAGATAATGGAATTGTTGGGTGACTGTTGTACAGTATTGTGAAGGGGAGATTTGTGTTTTCAATGTTATACTATTATTTACGTAAAAATACGTCAGTCTTACGGGGATTACCAGTCCTTTTTCTCCCTATTTCTCCCTCAACCTTTTTTTAACCTTTTTTTCTCGTCATATTTCTCCCTCAACCTTTTACATAAACTGCAAATTTGCATAAATTTGCTCTGACAAGAAAAGTTTGTCACTGTCCACTGCGTGTTTTTGGATGTAACTTAGCATATCTCAATGTCAAAGTGGTGAACCAAGACGTGGTCTACAGGTCATGTGATAGGTAACGTCAGCAATCACCCCCTTTCCAGCCCTGGTTGCATAGATTCCTGTGTGTCTAGGATCTCAGAAGACCTCTGAAGCACCGTCAACCTTTTAAATAAACTGCAAATTTGCACAAATTTGCTCTGGCAAGAAAAGGTTGTCACTGTCCACTGCATTTGATATAGAAATAGATATCAATTGCTTTATAAGCGACTATTGAGGTTTAGTAGTAATTATACTTGAGCTCTGGTCAAGTTAGCTGAGATCATGGTCTGTTATATTAATATGTTCTGGAAATTTATGTAAGGAGTATTTTAATGTTGGAGTTTGCCATTCAAGAACTGACCGATGTAGTGGTGTTTTTTATCCACTGGATGGCAGCTGTACACTTGAATGGTTAATTGAAGGGTTAAGAGGACAGGCTTTATGATGTTGCCTGTCTTCACGTATGGTCACACCCTCAGAGGAAGTCATAATGACGAAACGCGTCAGGGCATTACCATCCGTGACGTTGGCACATTCACCAGCAGTGACGGTACCTCCCATATACGGAAATGCAACAGCAGGCTGTACACAGAAGCGTGGTGATATGCCAGATTCACTGCACTTGCGGTGACCATCGCTTTCATTTATTGTAATGCGCTTTGTATTTTGGCTCAATGTGAGTAACTTTTAAGGCGGAACAGTGGCAATAAAGTGCCTTAAACAGAGTCATGCTATGGTGTTTATTTGTGTTTTCCACTTATGTGTTGGATCTGTGAAACCTACCTGATCGATGGTGATTTGTGAGCCCAGGAGGAGGATATCTGGCATTGCTTGTTGTTTTTAGACAATGATACTGACAAGTCTGTCAGTCAAAAGGCGTGGAGCCACCCAGGTCTAGAATAGGACACTAAAAAACTCTTTGCCTATAAGTGACAGTTACAATCCATGCTTCCTTGCCACCTTCTCAATCTGTCGGAGGCCTTGCTCCCTTGCTTTAAAGGAAAGGAGCTTCTGGATATGGCGTGGTATTTGACTTCCTCCATGTGACACTAACATATTTTCCCCAGTCCCCAACACACTGTCACCCTGTCCATGGCCCACAGTTGATATGCCCACCTTATGAGTGGTCATGCCCAGATCAGATCTGCTTTCCTGGGTTGTCCTGCACAGATCAGGCACACTTTCTAGGTGGTCCCACCACTTATAATTTAGGAACTGCTCCCTTGCAACAACAATCCCCTCATCTAGTAACCTTTTTTTGAGTTAATGCACATCCTCAGTGAGCTGTGATCCTGGGATACCACATCATCAGGACAAATATGCGGGACTGTCCTGGCAAATCCAAGACACTGAGCATCTTTGGACTAGTGATGGATGTTCTTGGGTTTGGTTTGGAAACATTACTGAAGTTCGGGTGCCATATCTAATCCCAGCTGAGGTCAATGGGAGCCATAACTTACAAATCAGCAATGGCCATTTTCTAACATAGGTGCAGATCAAACTGACAACTCATCCCTTCTATGGCCAATGCTTGGGCCAATGATGTCATCAACCCAAATAAGCTCTGCAACCACTGAACGCCAGAGCTTACTCAGAGGGAACCCCTGCAGTGGGCAGATGAAGAGGGAATGTGGATGGGAGAGTCTACCTTGCTTGAGGTTGGTGGGTGAGCAAAGTATCTTTACTATGGCCAATGCTTGGGCCTGAGCAGCTAATCACTGCAAGGTGGGCCAATGACGTCATCAACCCACATAAGCTCTAATGTCACTGAACGTCAGAGCTTACTCAGAGAGAACCCCTGCAGTAGGCAGATGAAGAGGGAATGTGGATTTGGGAGTCTACCTTGCTTGGGGATGGAGGGTGGGCAAAGTATCAGTGTCTGTTTAATCATGATATTTTACCAGTTGTGGAACCAAGTACAAAATATGCTTTTTCTGTTTAAATTTTTTTAGAAATTCAGTACAGGTTAATTTCACTATCAGATTTTATTTTATTACCAATTTACATCGGTTACAAGAATAAAAGATTGTTCCCGATTGATTGTGATGGGCTGTGTCATGTTACATCTTTGCCTTTGCATTGCTCAGTCGGTCTTCCATAGGTTCTGGTTGTGGCTTGTTTACTTCTTCAGT